TGATAGTTTGAATGTACATAGTAAATCATTAGTACAGTCAAGCAAAAGCAAATTAACATATCCATCACCTTTCATAGTTATCTTTTTGTGTGTGTTGTAAGAGCACCTAATCTATTTCAGCACATTTTCAGTATACAGTACAATATTATAACTATAGTCCTAATGCTGTACCATTAGATCTCTAGACTTATTCAAGACTCTCTTTGTATCATCCAATATTGCGTGCTTTGTCTGAAAGTCATGTCATCTTTGGACCTTTCCTTTTAGCAGTAATTTCTCAACAGTGTTCTCATTATGGATAGCACCATTTCTAAGTTTCTGTTGTTGGGTTAAGTTTTCTCCCCACTGTAAGCTTCCTGAGGGCAGGGATTTTGTGTGTTTTTTTTTATTTTTTTAACTGCTATTACTTTCAGGCATATCTATAACTGTACCTAAGACACAGTAGGTAATAAGATTTGTTGATGAATGAGTCTGAATTAATGAAGCATGAATGTGAATAAACCAAATATTAAAAAAAACCAGCAAATGATTTTTCATCATTTTTATACTCTGGCTTTTAATCATTTTCAGTTTTATATAGTTTATTATCCGTGTTGTTGGAATAGACTTGATGTAAATTATACCTTGTTATAAGGATATGTGCTCTCCAGTCTGTCTCTATAACGTTGTTCATTTTTTTTTTTTTTTTTTTATTTCAGATACTTTTTCTTTAGTTAAGGCAATTTAATCTTCATTGTCATCCATTTGTTAACCTATGTCTTATAGCTAAGAACTAAAATGAATATACTTCTTAAGAGCAAGAATATTTTATTTGATATTTAGCTTTTGACCACTTGAATATAGCTTCCTGGCTGAATACAAGATATTTCCTTTAGGACTTGAGTTTTCACTGTGGATCAGTAAGTGAATATTAGAAAATAATTTATTATGGGGATTTATACAGAAATGATAACAGTATTCATAAGATTTATATCCTTCTTGAAACAGAAGATATCTTAGTACCACAAAATGATGGTCCAGTATGTTCTTCAATTGCTATTATTACATGTCAGTGATGTGGAACAGAATATTGTTCCAGGACAAAATTTATTCAAACCTATGGCTTTCATGTCATTATTCCTATGCAAAGATTTTGAGGTAGCATTTTGCTCCGTTGTTTTCTTCCATTCTTTTTCATTCAGCAACATTTCATAGGTCTTTATGATGAGAGGCAAAAAATTACACATCATGATTGTGTTTGATATTTCTGCTATAATTGGGGAATAGTTTGGAGATCGTTCTCATTCTTTAATCCCTATAATCCATTTTTGGAAATGCATTCCTAGGAAACAACTCTAAGAGAAAGAAACTGAGCAGTTATTACTTAAATATTTAGGGTGATTTTCAAAGTGACCATGCCTAATTGGAATTGAATATATTTGGAATGTTATAGAATTATTGGAGAAAATAAACAACACAAAGTAATATATACACACCACTGACATCCATTAAAGGAGTATACTTGTTGATAAGATTAAGAGAGAATGAATTTATGACTTGTTGATCTTAAGTTTGTGGACTCCTTTTCAGTAAAGATGTTTTAAACATATACATTTAAAATTCAGCTATTGTGGCTGGTGTGGTGGGCTCATGCCTGTATCTAGCTCTGGGTGAGGCTTGGCGCGGATTTTGCTCAGGTCAGGGGTTCAGACGCGCAGCTGAGCGAGACTCCATCTACTACTAATAGAAAGAATTAATTGCCAGATAAAAGTATATACAAAAAATTAGCTGGGCATGGTAGCAATGCCTTAGTCCCGCTACCTTGGGTTAGCAGGTTTAGAGGAATTTTTCTCTTCTCTGGCCAGTGTTCAGTGGCTGTGAGCTAGGCTGTGCCATGGCACTCACTCTAGCTGGCACAAGTTGGGAGACTCTGTCTTAAAATTAATACACCTGTAAATAAATTAAAGAGAAAACAGTAATTAATTGAGATGTTGGAATGAGCATATGAATTATATGCCTATGCAAAAGAAATTAAGTGTTGAATGGTGATCGTTCGATACTGAAAAGAACTTAGGTTTTATTATGGAAAGAAGCACTATTGAAAGCTGAACATATAGTTACCATAGAAATTATTTCTACAAATGTTGTACAACTATCTAATAGGCCAAGGAGTGGCAGATGCAGAATAGTGGCTGATGATAAACATTCAGAATGTACAAGACTTTGCATGCCAGTGCCTCAACCGTGATGTATGGGGCAATGAAGCCGTGAAGAATATTTCCGGGAGCATTTCATTTTCTGGCAGGTGAGAAGGACAGTTAATCAAATTTTATTAGCATTTTCTTTTGTTGTAGTGCTGGAGGAGAAACTGGGTGTATAAACTGGAGAAAATTAATAACTGAATTAAATTATGGAGATAAAAAAGTAAACTACCATAAAGGCTGAAATAGTAAAGTGATAAAGGCAAATGAAGAGGCAACAATTAAGAACTCCAGCCAGTCATGGTGGCTCACCTATAATCCTAGCACTCTGGGAGGCCAGGGTGGGCGGATCGTCAAGTCAGGATTTGAAACCAGCCTGAGCAAGAGCGAGACCCTGTCTTTACTAAAATAGAAAGAATTAATTGGCCAGCTAAATATATATAGAAAAATTAGCTGAGCATGGTGGCTCATACTTGTAATCTCAATTACTGGGAGACTGAGGCAGCAGGATTGCCTGAGCCAGGAGTTTGAGGTTGCTGTGAGCTAGCTGACCACACGGCACTCTCTCTAGCCTGGGCAACAGAGTGAAACTCTGTCTCAAAAAAAAAAAGAACTCCCAAGGGAGGAATGAAAAAAAAAACACCAAGCCATACAAACCACATAATATTCATATCCCATAAGAGTTTAAATGTGTTGATAGTTCTACAACTGTACTGTTCAATATATAATATTATATATGCCACATATGTAATTTAAATTTGTGTTATAGCCACATTAAAAAAGATGAAAAGAAATTGGTGAAATTAATTTTAGTAATATATTTTGCTTAAATCAGTAAAGCCATCATATAACTAAGATAAAAATATTAATGAGATGGTTTGCTGCTTTAAGACATGGTGTGTATTTTATACTTACAGCACATCTCAGTTTTGACTGGTCACATTTTAAGTGCTTTAATAGCCCAGGTGACTACTGGCTACTATATTGGAAAGTGCAGGTGTAGAAGATCTTGAAAATTGTAGAAGTCAGGCCGGGCACGGTGGCTCACGCCTGTAATCCTAGCACTCTGGGAGGCCGAGGCGGGTGAATTGCTCGAGGTCAGGAGTTCGAAACCAGCCTGAGCAAGAGCGAGACCTCGTCTCTACTATAAATAGAAAGAAATTAATTGGCCAACTAATATATATTTAAAAAATTAGCTAGGCGTGGTAGCTCATGCCTATAGTTCCAGCTACTTGGGAGGCTGAGGCAGGATGATTGCTTGAGCCCAAGAGTTTGAGGTTGCTGTGAGCTGGGCTGACGCCACGGCACTCACTCTAGCCTGTGCAACAAAGCGAGACTCTGTCTCAAAAAAAAAAAACAAAAAAAAACTGTAGAAGTCAAATTGATAACATTTGACTAAGGCTTGACTTTGTTACCCCCATATATTCTTAAACATGTCACTTAGTTCTTCTGGCTCTAGATTTTTATTTATTTTTTTGAGGATCTTGCTCTGTTGCCTAGGCTGGAGTGCAGTGGCACCTTCATAATGCAGTGCAACCTCAAATTCCTGCGCTCAAGCAATCCTACTGCCTCAGCCTCACAAGTAGCTAAGATTACAGGTGTGCACTATGATGCCAGGCTAATTTTTTAAAAAAATTTTTTGTAGAAATGGGATCTTGCTGTGTTGCCCAAGCTGGTTTTGAACTCCTGGCCTCAAGCAATTCTCCCACCTTGGCTGAATAAAATAGAAGAAATTTTACCATTAAAAAATATTGAATTTAATATAGGCCAGACTTGGTAGTTCATGCCTGTAATCCTAGCACTCTGGGAGGCCGAGGTGGGTGGATCGCTCAAGGTCAGGAGTCCAAAACCAGCCTGAGCAGCTCGACCCTGTCTCTACTAAAAATAGAAAGAAATTAATTGGCCAACTAAAAATATATAGAAAAAATTAGCCAGGCATGGTGGCGCATGCCTGTAGTCCCAGCTACTCGGGAGGCTGAGGCAGGAGGATTGCTTGAGCCCAGGAGTTTGAGGTTGCTGTGAGCTAGGCTGACGCCGTGGCACTCTAGCCTGGGCAACAGAGTGAGACTTTGTCTCAAAAAAAAAAAAAATATATATATATATATATCAGGCACATCAAAACATTAATAGCACATCTTGCAGTAGAACAAATTAAGTTTCTTTGTAAGTTTTATTTTCTGTAATTTTTCCTAAAAGAAAAAAATTGATATAAGATCATCAAGATCATCTAACCTTAGCTTGTTAATTTATATAAAAAGAAATTAGAGGACCAGACACAGTAGCTCACGCCTGTAATCCTAGCACTCTGGGAAGCCGGGGCAGAAAGATTGCTTGAGCTCAGGAGTTCGAGACCAGCCTGAGCAAAAGTGAGACTCTGTCTCTATTATTAGAAAGAAATTAGCCAAACAACTGAAAATAGAAAAAATTAGCCGGGCATGGTGGTACATGCCTGTAGTCTGAGCTACTCGGGAGGCTGAGGCAGGAGGATCGCTTGAGCCCAGAAGTTTGAGGTTGCTGTGAGCTAGGCTGAATGCCCGGGCACTCTAGTGCAGGCAAGAGAGTGAGAACTATCTCAAAAAAAAAAAGAAGAAAAACTGGGAAGGGATTAGAACTTGTTTATTATAAGTTTCCAGACAGGGGCTGAGGGCAGGAAAGTGTTTATACCAGATGACCTTCATTTTCCCTTATACGAAGGAGTGAGATCCTGACTCACATACCAAATGTATATTTGGAAAATTAATTATTGTTGGTGTATGACAATGTTATAGTTGCTGTTTTTTTTTTTAGAGGCTGACATTTTTTTAATCAATGGTTTAACAGGTTTATCATGACAGTGAAGAAGGCCAGAGATACATACAGTTTTATAAACTAGGGGATTTCCCCTATGTTTCCATATTGGACCCACGGACAGGTAAGATTTTTTATCAGCTTACAGCCTTTAACCTGTCATTGAACTTTCATCTACCTGAATGATTGGTCTTTAATATTTGAATGGATCTGGCTTCAGAATTGCAATAATTTAGGTGAAGATTTCTTGTTTATTCCCTTTGTAATTATTTAAACATCTGTTGCTGTGTATATTTACGAAATCTTTCTCTGGCAACTTTGGAAGATGGCAGTATTTTATATTTGTGAAGTTCTGTTCTTTCAAAGGATATCTGTTATGTTCATCTTATCATTTTATAAGGGATTCCCCTTAGGTTTTCTATCATTAAAATTAAGATTGTTCAGGTACTGGTTGTAATCCCACCAGAGAAGCAGGAGGAGGCAGAAGTGGTTTTATTATTAATTGATTACATTTTATATAGATAATGTTTTCTCTGAATCTCTTCTTCCTAAATATAGCAATAAGTGATTTCAGCAGTTAAGGTAGTTACCGTATCATGATGGGTGGGAATCTGTTAGATGGTTTATAATTGATGTATCCTGTAGGTTATAAAGATAATATGTTACTTAAGCCGGTAAGGTATGTGGATATGTGTTCATAATAAATTTTAATTATGCATATTCTGAAAGAAATGAATGTTCAGAAAGAATATAGATTTTGTGTTTATATGTCCTTGTTTTGATCTTTAGGTCAGAAGCTAGTGGAGTGGCACCAATTAGATGTATCTTCTTTCTTGGACCAAGTGACAGGATTTCTGGGTGAACATGGGCAACTGGATGGACTTTCTAGCAGTCCCCCCAAAAAATGTGCCCGTTCAGTAAGTATAATTAGAAAGTAGTGATGGGCGGGCAGTTAATTGTACGTAAGCATCTGTGTAAAATGTATGGTGTCAAGATGGTAAAGATAGTAATGTAAGTAGTGGAAAGTTATCACTTATGGCTGTACAACATCTCAAATATCCTCCTTATATTTTGATAATTTCCCACAAAAAGGGTTTCATCTTTTCAATGAAATCCTAAGACTCATATTCCCAGTCTATTGTCAGCTTGGGTGCAGGCATATGACCTAAGATCTGCATTTAGAAGGAGGCAATGTGAATATGCTGAGCAGAAGGACTGATCTGGCAAGCCTGGTGGTGGGAGACATTCACTTCCTCAGGGGCAGCATTGGAAGGGCTTCTGGTATCCAAGTCTAAGCAGCAATGGAAGTGGTGGTATTTTTGATTTTTGTTTCTTTTTAAGAGGTGAGGTCTTGCTGTGTTGCCCAGGTTGGCCTTGAACTCCTAGGCATAAGCAATCCCTTCTGCCTCAGCCTTCCTACTAGCTGGGGACTACAGATACATGCCACTTAGCCCAGCTGGAAAGTGGTGTTTTTGTTAGAAATCAAAACTTGTGGTATAGTTGGGCATTATTATGGTTATATAGCTTTAGAGCCTGGCTCTCTGGCTCTCCTAGGGATTGTTTCTATAATATGTTGTTATTAAGCACCCTGTTGGATAATTTGTTATCAAAATTAGTTGGAAGGGCAGGGCATGGTGGCTCATGCCTGTCATCCCAGCACTTTGGGAGGCCAAGGCGATAGGATCGTTTGAGGCCAGGAGTTCAACGAGACTAGTCTGGGCAACATAGTGAGACCTCATTATCTATCTATCTATCTATCTATCTATCTATCTATCTATCTATCTATCTATCTATCTATCCATCCATCCATCCATCCATCCTAATCTATCTCCCTCCTTCCCTCCCTCCCTCTCTCCCTCCCTCCCTCCCTCTCTCTCTCTGTCTCTGTCTCCCCCTCTCCCCCTCTCCCTCTCTCCCCACCTATAAGCTTCATAATGTCATAGAAATGAGACCCTATCTCTATAGAAAAATTTTTTTAAAGTTTAACCAGGTGTGGTGGTGCCTGCCTATAGTCCCAGCTACTTGGGAGCCTGAGGCAGGAGGATCACTTGAATCCAGGAGACTGCAGTGAGCTATGATTACACCACTACACTCTAGCCTAGGCAACAAAGCAAGATGTTGTCTCTTAATTAGTTGTAAGTAAGACATTGATATTCAAAGATACAGCAATCTCACATTGGTTGAAGTGGCTGTTTGGGTTTGATGGCAGTGAAGATAAAAATAGTTTTGGAAGATGTGACTTTGGTAGTCCATATCATGTAGTAATGAAATAGTTCCTAGGATAAAGTGTGTATTTAAGGAAAAGCATTAAAGGGTGGTATAGAATTCTTTTTTAAGGCATAAAAAAATCCCAGGGGGCTCTTTAATTGCCCTAAGAGAGTTTCTTTTGGGTTCATAATAATGGTTTATATTTAAAAACCAGAGCCTGAATTTCAGAATTATAGAATTATGTCATAAATTGAGTTTATAACCTCACTCTTTTTTAAAAGGCACTTAGTAGGAAAGAATGGGACCATAAAATTGGAATGAATACATAGGGATAGGTTGGGTGACTGATACCTCAGATCCCACTTCTGATATCAAATTTTCTGAATGCTACAAATTTTGGTAAACTACAATGCAGGAGGACATCACAATAATAGCTTAAACAAGGAAGAGGTTTATATTTCTCAGCAAGCGTGCACACTGGCATTCTATGGCTTGAATCATGTGAATGCCATCAGGGAACCAGGCTCTTCCTCTTTTTTTATCCCCCTTCATCCTTAGTATTGGCTTTTGTCCTTGGGTCACAGTGTAGATGCTGCACTGCTATTAATACATACTAAGTGTGGTTCAGGAGGAAGGGGGTGGTATGTCTATAATAAAGGGTGAATAGCCACAAATAAGAGTTCTGCATATTTTATCTGGACATGTTTTCTTCCACAAACACAATTGAGGTTCTATAATATTAATAAGGAAGATATGATAATCTCACATGGATGTGAGATAGGAAACCAGCAGTGTTTGTCACAGTGTCATTCTTTTTTTCTTAATTTTTTTTTTTTTAAGACAGAGTCTCACTGTTTCCCAGGCAAGAGTACAATGGTGTCAATTTGTCCATTTTACCTAAAAGGTGAAATGTATTGTCAGAGTTCTTTTTTTTTTTTTTTTTTTTTTTTTGAGACAGAGTCTCGCTTTGTTGTCCAGGCTAGAGTGAGTGCTGTGGCATCAGCCTAGCTCACAACAACCTCACACTCCTTCGCTCAATCGATCCTGCTGCCTTAGCCTGCTGAGTAGCTGGGACTACAGGCATGTGCCACCATGCCTGGCTAGTTTTTTCTATATATATTAGTTGGTCAATTAATTTCTTTCTATTTATAGTAGAGACGGGTTCTCACTCTTGCCCAGACTGATTTCGAACTCCTGACCTCGAGCTATCTGCTCGCCTGGGCCTCCCAGAGTGCTAGGATTACAGGCGTGAGCCACCGTGCCCGGCCAGAATTTTTTTTTTTAAGACATAGTGTCTCCCTCTGTTACCCAGGCTGGAAGGCAGTGGCCCAGTCACTATAACCTCGAATTTCGAATTCCTGGGCTCAAGCAATCCTCCTGCCTCAGCCTCCTGAGTAGCTGGGACTATAGGTGCACACCACAATGCTTGGCTGATTTTTTAATTTTTTGTAGAGATGGGGGTCTCCCTATGTTGCCCAGTCTGGTCTTCAACTCCTGGTCTCAAGTGATCTTCCTATCTCGGCCTCCCAAAGTAATAGGATTATAGGTGTGAGTCACCACACCCAGGCTCCTTAGAATATTATATATATGACAATCATTTTGTCAACAAATAAAGACTGTTTTACTTTCTTTCCAAACTCTATGCCTTTTGTTTCTTTTTCTTGCCTTGTTGCATTGGTTGGGTCCTCCAGTACAATGTTATATAAAAGTAGTGAGATTAGACATTCTCATCCTGTTTCTGATACTGGGGTGAAAGCATTCCATGTTTACCACTGAAGTTTGATGTTAACTATATATTTTTTTTCCTTTCCTTTTCCTTTTCTTTCCTCTTTCTTTTTTTTTCCCTCCCTCCCTTCCTCCCCTTTTCCTATCCTTCCCTTCCCGTCCCTCCCCTCCCCCATCCTGGCCATATATATCTTATGATCGGATAATTTCTCTCTTCCTGTTTAGAGCTTTTATGATGTTGTATTGTTTTTTATGTTATTATGAGATGATCATGTGGTTTCCTTTTTTTGTGAGTTTCATTGGTTGGTTTTGGGGTTTTGTTTTTTTTTGAGACAGTGTCTCACTCTGTTGCCCAGAATAGAGTGCCGTGGTGTCAGCCTAGCTCACAGCAACCTCAATCTCCTGGGCTCAAGCAATCCTGCCTCAGCCTCCTGAGTAGCTAGGACTACAGGCATGTGCCACTATGCCCGGCTAATTAATTAATTAATTAATATATATATATTTTTGGCCAATTAATTTCTTTCTATGTTTAGTAGAGACGAGGTCTGGCTCTTGCTCAGGCTGGTTTCGAACTCCTGACCTTGAGCAATCTAGCCACACCTCAGCCTCCCAGAGTGCAAGGATTACAGGTGTGAGCCACCGTGCCCAGCCTGGTTTTGGTTTTTTAATATTAAATCAACCTTGCATTCTTTGCCTGAAACCCACTGGGTTATAATGCATATTACTCTTTTATATATTGTTGGGTTTGATTTGCTAAAATTTTTTTTGTCTTTATAATTGTTTCTTTTATTCTATTGCAATCAACACAACTATTTGAATTCAGCTAAGTATCTAAGTCCAGTTTTAATAAAACACTAGCCTAAGCTTACAAAATAGACAAATTAACCAACAACTATGCATTTTGAGAAATGGTATATGCTATCAAGATCACAGGAATGCTGGATCATAGGAAATGCAGGCAAATCCTGGGAATCAACATAAAATGCATGCCTCAACAACCACTGACTATTTTGCATAATTGACTCCATCAATGAATCTGTGATTTAGCTTCCAGGTTTTCATAATTGTGCATTTATAGTAACATGCTTCAGTAACTTTAAGGTAAAATGTAATACAAATTACTGGTATAATACAATAAAGAATATCTGTGTTACACAGTTAAATCACTTTAAAGAACACTGAGTATCTACAAGAGATATCTGTGTATATTTGTATATTAAATGAGGAATATATTAGATTTAAAATGCTACCTTGTTTGCATTTTTCCTAAAATGAATTAACGTACATAAATTCTCAGTAACTTTAGTGAGTGCATCTGAATATTTATTTTCTGCATATGGTGGATTCTCTACTTCTACAATGTCATGATATGACATCCTTATAATTCTATTGGTGATTGTATAATATTTGTTGCTATTTAGGATCAACAATTTCAAATGATCTTTTATACTCAAATAAGACACTTATTATTTTACTTCAAGTCTAATTTTAGTTCCAGAGAAGGCAGTGCTGTCTTAAAGGCTTGGACAAGATTTTCTTTTTCTTTAACTCCAGGAAGATCACTTAACAACAAATACTTGAGGTTTCTTAAATTACTCAAAGCAATGATGCCTTTGTCTGTGATATTCCCACAGGAAATTATTTCCATTTCCAATAAGCTCTTTTGTAATTTTTCAAGTTGACCGATTTTCTGCAAACAGTCATCCTCGATATAATGACACTTGCATAGTCTCATTTTTTCAGCATGCTCTAAGTCGTCCATGTGATCAAATTCGATATTCATGATACAAGTGTCTGTGGCATCGATGGCTTGAATCTTGTATTTGTCTAGAGAGCCTGTTGGGAGGTTGTTGTAGTTCTTGTGTCACCTCTCATGCATGGCCCCACATCGCGACAGCCACTCGGATGCTGCCCTGTCGGGGCCGACATCCTTAATGCGTTCATAATCCACTTTATTAAACACTGTATTCAACCAGCCCAAGAAGTATCTGGAGTCACATGACCATGGGAGTTTCTTTAAGCCACACAACTGCCAGGAAACTTTTCCAAACATCATCCTTTAATTTTTAGTCCTGGGTCACTGGTAGGATGGTGATGCCATTAATAGAAATCAACATCAGGACAGGGTTGTGAGTTCCATTTTTTTTCTTACAGTTTTTCATATTCTAAATATGAAAGTTTGGCAGGACTTCATATGACCCAGCAATTGAACTCTTGGGCACTTATCAGCGTTGGAGGGAGGGAGCGAGTGAGCCGGTGTCCCCCCGATTTGCTAAAATTTTATCAAGAATTTGTGTTCTGGGGCCAGGCGCAGTGGCTCACGCCTGTAATCCTAGCACTCTGGGAGGCCGAGGTGGGCCTAGGTAGGAGAATCACTCAAGGTCAGGAGTTCGAAACCAGCCTGAGCAAGGGTGAGACTCCGTCTCTACTAAACATAGAAGGAAAATAATTGGTCAACTAAAATATATAGAAAAAATGAGCCAGGATGATGGTGTGTGCCTGTAGTCCCAGCTATTCGGGAGGCTGAGGCAGGAGGATCGCTTGAGCCCAGGAGTTAGAGGTTGCTGTGAGCTAGGCTGAGAGCCATTGGCACTCACTCTAGCCTGGGTAACAACGCGAGACTTTGTCTCAAAAAAAAAAAAAAGAATTTGCGTTTATGATGGATACTGGTTTGTAGTTTTTTGAGGGGTTCTTTTGTTGTTTTTCCTTACTTCCTTGTAATGCCTATGATGTGTTTGGTTTTGGTATCAGGTTAATGCTAAACTCAAAATAAATTGAAGTGTTTCCTCCTTTCATGTTTTCTGCAAGAGTATGTATAGAATTGATATTGTTTCTTCCTTAGTGTTTGGTGACATTATCAGTGTGTGTGTGGAAAGTTTTAATACAAATTCAATTTGATTAGTAGAGGACTACTCAGATATCTATCTATTTCTTCTTAAATGAGCTTTAATAGATTGTGTCTTTCTAGGAATTGGTCCATTTTACCTAAAAGGTGGAATGTATTGTCAGAGTTCTTTTTTTTTTTTTTTTTTTTCTGGAGACAGAGTCTCGCTTTGTTGCCCAGCCTGCAGTGAGCCCGGATGTCAGAGTTCATTATATTCTGTTGTTATTCCTTTAATGACTAAAGAGACTGTGGTTATCCCCTCTCTTAATCCTGTTGTTGGTAATTTGTGTCTTCTCTTTATTTCCCTGATAGTCTGGCTAGAGGCTTATCAGTTTTAATAATCTTAAAGTACCAAGCCTGGTGCAGGTGCGTACCTCTGTAGTACCAGTTACTTGGTAGAGTGAGATAGGATAATCTCTTGAGACCAGGAGTTTAGGGATATAGTGTGGTATGATCGCACCACTACACTGGAGTGCAGTGTGAATAGCCACTGCACTGTAATCTGGGCAACAGTGAGACCTTTTCTCTTAAAAAACAAAACAAAACAAAATAACAACCTTTGGCTTCACTGATTTCCTCCCCCCCATTGTATTTCTGTTTTCTAGGTCATTGATTAATTTCTGCCCTTTTTATTTTTTAACTCCTCCCTCTGTTTTCTCTGTTTAATTTGGGCTTAATTTTAAGCAGAGGAGAATGAATATTGTATAGGAACCTAGCAGTGTCTTTAATGGCTACAATCTTTAAATCAAGCAACATGTACAAAGTCATTGTTATAAATCAACTATACTGTAGTACACGTAAGCCATTGCATATCACATGGGCACATGTTCTTATTTTTTTCGGGCTGGTAAATTAGCCTTAAGTTTATTTTTAAAATTTCCTCTAATTTTTTTCTATATGATTGACAGATAATAAAAGCCAAAATGAGGTTTCTTTAGTTTTTCAAGTTAGCAGCCCATATATTTTTACCCTTTTATCGTGGAAAATTTTAAGCACATGCAAAAGTTAAAAGGAATTTATTAAGCCTATATGTACCCATTAAGTAATTTGAATAATTATTAACAGGTGGCCAGTCTTTCATCTGTGTCCCACCATATCCACATTATTTTGAAGCAGATCTCAGAATTTATTGTTTCGTTCATTAATACTTTTGACATATCTTTAAAAGATAAAGACTCTTTATTTTTTAAAAACACAATCACAGTGCTATTAGTGTACCTTTCCTTAAACATTAGCAATAATTCCTTTTTTTTTTTTTTTTTTTTTTGAGACAGGGTGTCACTTTGTTGCCCAGGCTAGAATGAGTGCCGTGGTGTCAGCCTAGCTCACAGCAACCTCCCACTCCTCGGCTCAAGCGATCCTACTGCCTCAGGAGGAGGAGCTGGGACTGAGTAGCTGGGACTACAGGCATGCGCCACCATGCCCGGCTAATTTTTTCTATATGTATTAGTTGGCCAATTAATTTCTTTCTATTTATAGTAGAGACGGGGTCTCACTCTTGCTCAGGCTGGTTCCGAACTCCTGACCTCGAGCAATTCACCCGCCTCGGCCTCCCAGAGTGCTAGGATTACAGGCTGAGCCACCGTGCCCGGCCAATAATTCCTTAATATCATGACATATCCAGTGATAAGCTTTAGGTTATCTTACAAAGTTATTCTTCTGTAGTGTGTTTGAATCAGGATCTAAATATGTTCCACTCAAAGAACCCATATATTGTGACTCAGTTTAGTGAAATCTGTGACATTTAAACTTTACCGGCCGGGCGTGGTGGCTCACACCTATAATCCTAACACTCTGGGAGGCCGAGGCAGGCAGATAGCTTTAGGTTAAGAGTTCGAAACCAGCCTGAGCAAGAGTGAGACCCCATCTCTACTATAAAAATAGAAAGAATTTAATTGGCCAACTAATACATATAGAAAAAATTAGCCAGGCATGGTGGCGCATGCCTGTAGTCCCAGCTACTCGGGAGGCTGGGGCAGAAGGATCGCTTGAGCCCAGTTTGAGGTTGCTATGAGCTAGGCTGACACCACGGCACTCTAGCCCGGGCAACAGAGTGAGACTCTGTGTCAAAAAATAAACAAACAAACAAACAAACAAACTTTACCAAGGGGGAAACTGTAAAAATTTGCCTTTCTCATTATAATGAAAATCTTCATTGTAATTAAGTTTGTGAGAATCTAGTTAATGTTGTCTCCTTTTTATTGTTTGGTGTTTTGTTTTTGACTATCAGAGATCTGTTAAATTTTTTGAGAATTGATTAAGAAATTTATATCCATCTTTGTGCCAAAGCAGTGCTAGTTGAAGAATACAGTGGTGAGCAAGGCATACATTCTTCTCTATTGTTTAGTCATTTTAAAGAATAGTCTTTTGGGGGAATATAATTGATCCTGATCACTGACTCTTGGTCAACTTTTTTTTTTTTTTTTTTTTTGAGACAGAGTCTCACTTTGTTGTCCAGGCTAGAGTGAGTGCCGTGGCGTCAGCCTAGCTCACAGCAACCTCAAACTCCTGGGCTCAAGCGATCCTCCTGCCTCAGCCTCCCGAGTAGCTGGGACTACAGGCATGCGCCACCATGCCCGGCTAATTTTTTTTATATATATATCAGTTAGCCAATTAATTTCTTTCTATTTATAGTAGAGACGGGGTCTCACTCTTGCTCAGGCTGGTTTTGAACTCCTGACCTTGAGCAATCCGCCCGCCTCGGCCTCCCAAGAGCTAGGATTACAGGCGTGAGCCACAGCGCCCGGCCTCTTGGTCAACTTTTTTTAAGAAAAACAAAACCAGTTTAATAGTTAAAAAAATAAAAGAATAGTGTTTTGACTTGACATTATATTTAAAACTTTTAATTCTTGTTTTTTGATGGGCAAGGAATAAAATGTTTTCTTGATTTTGTTCATTTTGATGTGAAAAAATACCTATGCTTGAAACATCAGAGTGCTAGGTGCTATGACAGTTTTTTATATATTTTTTAATATATCCATTCCAGTTTGACTGTGTAAGACAAAGTCCTTTCCCTCAAATAGCTTAAAATTGAGTAGAAGAGGTACATTCAGTAGAAAATAATAGTGGCAAACTATTATATTTCTTATGTCCTGTTTGACTTGACTATTTTTTGGTTTAACTTCTTTCTGTTTTTCCACTTGTGTTTTATGACTGCATCTCACAGGAGAGCCTTATAGATGCAAGTGAAGACAGCCAGCTAGAAGCTGCCATCAGAGCCTCCTTGCAAGAGACACATTTTGATTCAACACAGACAAAACAGGACAGCCGCTCAGATGAAGAATCTGAATCTGAACTTTTTTCTGGCAGTGAGGAATTCATATCTGTTTGTGGCTCCGATGAAGAAGAGGAGGTAGAAAATCTTGCTAAGTCCAGAAAGTCTCCCCATAAAGATTTGGGGCATAGAAAAGAGGAAAACAGAAGGCCACTAACAGAGCCCCCTGCCAGAACTGAGCCTGGAACAGCCACAAACCACCAAGGATTATCAGCTGTGGATTCAGATATAATAGAGATGTCACCTGAAAAATCAGATGGAATAGTGGAGGGGGCAGATGTAAATGGTAAGGTACATTATAGACTTACTTTTCTTAAAGCTTGAGTGTAACTGAATGGCTTCATTTATTTATTTAAATTACTCTTCTATTAATCTTCTATTGTAAGCTCCTAAGGGTTTTTTCGTTTTTTAAATCCTACTTTTAGGACCAAAAGCACAGCTGATGTTGCGGTATCCAGATGGAAAAAGGGAACAGATCACTCTTCCAGAGCAAGCTAAATTGCTAGTAAGTATAGACATACCGTAATTTGTGGCTCAGTTCCAGACCACTACAATAAAGTGAGTCACACGAATTTTTTGGTTCTCAGTGTGTATAAAAGTGTTCACAAGGCCGGGCCCGGTGGCTCATGCCTGTAATCCTAGCACTCAGGGAGGCCGAGACGGGCGGATTGCTCAAGGTCAGGAGGAGTTCGAAACCAGCCTGAGCATGAGCGAGACCCCGTCTCTATTGTAAATAGAAAGAAATTAATTGGCCAACTAAAAATATACATAGAAAACGTTAGCCGAGCATGGTGGTGCATGCCTGTAGTCCCAGTTACTCGGGAGGCTGAGGCAGGAGGATCACTTGGGCCCAGGAGTTTGAGGTTGCTGTGAGCAAGGCTGATGCCACAGCACTCATTCTAGCCTGGGCAACAAAGTGAGACTCTGTCTTAAAAAAATAAGATAAAATAAAATAAAAGTGTTCACAAGTTTGCTGCATTGATTGACTCTTCTTTTTACAAAAGATTTTTCTGTAGGTTTCTATCAACATGTAATCCTGTTTGATAGCATTTTACTCACAGTAGAATTTCTTTCAGAATCGGAGTCAATCCTGTCAATCCCTGCTGCTGCTTTATCAACTAACTTTATGTAATATTCTAAATCTTTTGTTGTAATTTCAAGTATGTTCACAGCATCTCTACTAGGAGTAGATTCCATCTCAAGAAACCAGTTTCTTTGCTTGTCCATAAGAAGCAACTCTTCATCTGTTTTTTTGTTGTTATTGTTGTTTGTTTGGGTTTTTTTTTTTGTGTGTGTGTGTGTGTATGTTTTTAAGAAATGGGATCTTGGCCAGGTGCTGTGGTTCATGCCTGTAATCCTAGCACTTTGGGAGGCTGAGGCAGGAGGATTGCTTGAGGTCAGTAGTTCAGGACCAGCCTGAGCAAAAGCAAGCCCCTTCTCTACTAAAAAAAGAAAAATTCGCTGGGCATGGTGTCTAATACCTGTAGTCCCAGCTACTCTGGAGGCTGAGGCAGGAAGATCACTTTAGCCCGGGAGTTTGAGGTTTCAATGAGCCATGATCACGCCACTCCACTCTAGCCTGGGCAACAGAGCCAGGCCCTGCCTCCAAAAAAATTTTTTTTAAATGGGGTCTTGCTGTGTTTCTCAGGCTAGACTTGAACTCCTGGGCTCAAGTAATCCTCCTATCTTACCTGTAGCTGGGACTATAGGGTGTGCACCAGTGCACCTGGCTTGTTCAAGTTTGATCATGAGATTGTAGCAATTCAATCATATTCTAATTCTGGTTTCTTGCTATTTCTGTGATATCCGTAGTTGCTTCCTCCTCTGAAGTCTTGAACCCCTCAAAGTCATCCATGAGGGTTGGGAATCATCTTCCAAACTCATTTAATGTTGATATTTTGACCTCTTTCTATGAATTGCAAATGTTCTTAATGGCATCTAGAATAAGGAATCCTTTACAGAAGGGTTTTGTTTTTTTTTTGAGACAGTGTCTCACTCTGTTGCCTGGGTTAGAGTACCACGGCATCAGCCTAGCTCATAACAACCTCAGTCTCCTAGGGTCAGGCGATCTTCCTACCTCAGCCTCCCGAGTAGCTGGGACAACAGGCATGTGCCACCATGCCCGGCTAATTTTTTTTATTTTAGGTAGAGACGGGGTCTCACTCTTGCTCAGGTTGGTCTTGAAGTCCTGTACAAAAGGTTTTTGATTTACTTTGCCCACATCCATCGGAGGAATCTCTATGTACAGCAGGTATAAACTTACAAAATGTATTTCTTAATAAGACTTGAAGGATGAAATACACTCCTTGGTTCATGGGCTACAGAATGGATGTTGTACTAGCAGGCATGTAAACAGCATTAATCTCCTTGTACATCTTCATCAGAGCTCTTTGGGTGAGTAGGTGCATTGTCAATGAGAAATATCTTTTTCTGAGCAGTGGGTGTCAACAGTGGGCTTAAAATATTCAGTAAATATTGCTGTAAACAGATGTGTTGTCATCTGGGCTTTGCTGTTCCAGTTAGAGAGCACAGGCAAAGCAGATTTAACATAATTTGTAAGGGCCCTAGGATTTTCAGAATGGTAAATGAGCATTGGCTTTAACTGAAAATCAACAGCTACATTAGCTCCTAACAAGAGGGTCAGCCTATTCCATTGAAGCTTTGAAGTCAGGCATTGAGTTCTCCTCTCTAGCTGTGAAAGTCCTAGATGGCATCTTCTTCCAATGTCAGGCTTTTTCATCTACATTGAAAATATGTTGCTTAGTATAGCCACTTTTATCAGTTATCTTAGCTAGATTTTCTAGATAACTTGCTGCAGCTTCTACATCAGTACTTGCTGATTCACCTTGTACCTTTATATTATGGAGATGGCTTTTTTCCTAAAACCTTATGAACCATCTCTATTTTTTGTGTGTGTGAGACAGAGTCTCACTTTGTTGCCCAGGCTAGAGTGAATGCCATGGCGTCAGCCTAGCTCACAGCAACCTCAAACTCCTGGGCTTAAGCGATCCTCCTGCTCAGCCTCCAAAGTAGCTGGGACTACAGGTATGTGCCACCATGCCCGGCTAATTTTTTCTATATATATATATTAGTTGGCCAATTAATTTCTTTCTATTTATAGTAGAGACGGGGTCTCACTCTTGCTCAGGCTGGTTTCAAACTCCTGACCTTGAGCAATCTGCCCGCGTTGGCCTCCCTGAGTGCTAGGATTACAGGCGTGAGCCACTGCACCTGGCCAACCATCCTCTATTAGATTCCAACTTTTTTTGCAGCATCTTCACCTCTCTCAGCCTTCACAGAATTGAAAAAAGTTAGGGTCCTCTTCTGTATTAGGCTTTGACTTATGGGAATGATATGGCTTGTTTCTCTGTGTCAGCAATAAGGCTGTTTTGCTTTCTTACCATTCAGTGTGTTCATTAGAGTAGCACTTTTAATTTCCTTTAATAACTTTTCCTTTGCATTCACAACTTAGCTAACTTTTTGGTGCAAGAGGCCTACCTTTAGCCTATCTCTATTTTCTACATGCCTTCCTTTCTGAGCTTAATCATAAGTTTTTGATTCAAAGAGAGAGATGTGTAACTCTTCCTTTCACTTAAACAGAGGCCATTGTAGGGTTCTTAATTGGCCTCATTTCAGTATTCTTGTGTCTCAGGGAATAAGGAGGCACAAGGAGAGGGAGAGAGACAGGAACAGCAGGTCAGTGGAGGAGTCAGAACACAGACATTTATCAATTAAGTTCACCATCCTTATATGGATGTGGTTTGTGGTGCCCCAAAACAATTACAATAGTACATCAATGATGACTGATCACAGATCACCATAACACATATAATGAAAAAGTTTGAAATATTGTGAGAATTACCAAAATGTGACATGGGAATACAAAGTAAAGTTCATGCTGTTGGAAAAATGTCACCAGTAGACTTGGTTGATGCAAGGTTGCCGCATACCTTCAATTCGTAAAAAATGCAACATCTGCGAAATGCAATAAAGTGAAGTGGAATAAAACTTGGTACCTGTATATCTAATTGGAAGTGTTTGCTTAAAGCAGAGAAACTAATTGGAGTGAGTTCAGTGAGCATTGTTTGATGATTTTTTGAAATATGTGTTGAGTGGGGTTTTTTTGGTTTGTTTTTTTGTTTTTTGTTTGGTTTTCTTTTTTTTTTTTTGAGACAGAGTCTCACTTTGTTGCCTAGGCTAGAGTGAGTGCCTGTTTGGTTTTCTGAGATAGGGTCTTGCTCTGTCATCCGGGCTAGAGTGCAGTGGCATGATCACAGCTTACTGCAACGTCAAACTCCTGGGCTTAAGTGATCCTCCTGCCTCAGCCTCCCAAAGTGCTAGGGTTTACAGACATTCACCACAGTGCCTCACCTAGGAATTTAGTCTGATCTTTAGTTGGAAACTTAACTGTGGGAAATCTTTTATTTTTATTTTTTAATTTTAATTTTCTATTTTCTCAAATGCCTATAGTAGAATCAAGGGAAATCTTTTTTATTTTTTGGCCAATTTCTTTCTATTTTTAGTAGAGAAGGGGTTGGGGGTCTCACTCTTGCTCAGGCTGGTCTCAAACTCCTGACCTCAAGTGATCCTCCCGCCTCGGCCTCCCAGAGTGCTAGGATTACAGGTGTGAGCTACCACCCCCAGCCCAAGGAAATCTTAATTCTAATTTATTTCCTTCCCAAATTATCTTAGGCAAGTCACATAGGGTATATTCCAGTCAAGGCTTTTCTGTTCCATACCTGTATGGAATAGAAACCCAACTGAAATTATTACTTCTGAAAAAGGAGGAATTGAGGTTACTTGAAGAGTATAGTGGGCTCTTGGGTTTCCTAGTAGTTAAAACTGCCAAGTGGCTAAGAACCAAGGCTGTTTTTTGGCATGTTTTTCTTATGGGGCCTGTAGGCTTTCTCTTGTGATTCTCTGCTTCACACTATTCCTTTCTGTATACTGGTGGCTTTTCTTTCTTTCTCAGCTTGCACATGGTCCATCGTGGTGATGCTGAGGGCTTGTTCATGTAAAGTCCACAGCCATTGGGCTTTCTCACTGTTTTTCAAAAGCTGGGAAAGAGAATGAGACTGACTAGCGTAGCTTAGCTATGAATGAATCCCCTATGGGTCAGGCGCACCTGGCCATTAGCTGGGGCTGGAGATAATTAGGTTGATTGTTGCAACTGTGTTACTAGAATGCAAGTAGGGTCTGGTTGCTGGTGCAAATCCTCAGATCATCTCCCTAGCATAGTGTTTGGAAAAGAATGGAGATGAGACCATAGAAACAGCCAAGTATAGACCACTTTGTTTTTTTGTTTTGTTTTGTTTTGTTTTGAGACAGAGTCTCGCTTTCTTGCCTAGGCTAGAGTGAGTGCCGTGGTGTCAGCCTAACTCACAGCAACCTCAAACTCCTGGGCTCAAGTGATCCTCCTGCCCCAGCCTCCCAAGTAGCTGGGACTACAGGCACGAGCCACCATGCCCGGCTGATTTTTATATTATATATATATTAGTTGGCCAATTAATTTCTTTCTATTTTTATGGTAGAGACGGGGTCTCGCTCAGGCTGGTTTTGAACTCCTGACCTTGAGCAATCCGCCCGCCTCGGCCTCCCAGAGTGCTAGGATTACAGGCGTGAGCCACGGCGCCCAGCCTGACCACTTTGTTTTGAGAAGTTTAGTTGTGAAGCTGTAGGGAAGAGTATGCAGTAGTCAGAGGGAAAAAGGTGACTGGAGGGACTGAGCATGTTAAGTCTGATGGAAAGCATCTGTAGAGAGGGAGTTGTTGGAGAAACCTGTAAAAGAAGGCATATCCTGTAGTGGTCTGGTTTCCGAGAAGGCAAGAAGGGATTCAGTGCATAGGTGGCAAGATGGGTCATAGGTAGAATGAAAGACATATCTTCCTTGATAAAAGGATGGAGGGAAAACTGATTAAATGTTTAAAAATCAGAATAGTAATTTTATAAACTGTGATTGGGTTTATTGAGGACACAGTAATAACCCTGTATATTTTAATATCACTTAATGGACCTAAGTTATTAGATATAGCTTTATCATGTCCCCGTGGAAATGATTATATTGGTTCCTTCACAGGGACAGGCTTTGGTTTTTTTAAAAAATAACTTACACTTAATATCTCATCTGATATGGTGAAAAAGTTATGTTTCATTAGTTAATATACCCTTTCCTTTTATTTCCTTCTGACAGATTTGTCTTTCTCTTGTTTTTCATAGGCTTTGGTGAAACATGTCCAGTCTAAAGGATATCCAAATGAACGTTTTGAACTTCTCACCAACTTCCCTCGAAGGAAACTATCTCATCTGGACTATGACATTACGTTACAAGAGGCAGGCCTTTGTCCTCAAGAGACTGTCTTTGTACAGGAAAGAAATTAACACCATGCCTGACCTCTCTCAGCTTACCCCCTTTTTCCCATTTCCTGTGAGGTACCATATCACTAAGTATGCATTTTGGCTCATAGGACCATAGAGCCAAAGTTGGGCAAGCAAGTCACCTGCCTTCTCTTTTATTTCTTGTTCTTTCCTATAATCAATCTCTTTCTCCCCCTTTTTTCTCTTTCCTCTCCTGTTTTCTTCTCTCACCCCCAACTTTCTTTCCTTTTTACTTAATCTGGTGACCAAATGTAAGTGTAAGGATAAGACCTCTCCAGTACTAGCAGCAGGAAATGTGTGTTCCAATAAGTGGTCTCTTGCACGGCACTTTTTTGGGATCAAATGTTAGTTACTCCCCAGATTCCTTTGGCAAAGAGTGGCTAGATTCAGAATAAAAACAACCTCCCTTTTTTGTAAGTCCCCATTTTTAGTAGGAAGAAGAAGTTCTCTAACACGTTTTGTTTTGTTTCATTTTTCATGTAGGAAATATCACGTAACAAAGTATCTAGGCTTTTGTTTCCATGGAAAAAACATCCCTTATCATTATTGATCATCATATTTAAATTTTTTTTCAAAGGATTCCCATCTTCCCATCTGTAAGAATTATTTCCATGATATCTGTTATTGGCAGAATGAGTGTTAAATGTGGAGTGTGTAGCATGGGGTAGCTTTCAGTGCCCTAGCCTGAGACAGTTTTATTATTACTCTGTTAATTATATTGATCCTGCTGGTCCTTGAGTGGACATTTAGTGAGCATATTCTGGTGACTGGAATAGGAAGGTGCTTGCTGTTTTTGCCAGTACAGCATATTGTTCCTTTGACCCCTCCATTGTCTGGGTCCATGGTGATCTATAGGAAGGCAGCTGGTCAATAATCATGCACAACAGTGGCTTATAATTATAACCACTATGGTTATTGATTGTCCTATGTTCTTTAAGGCATACTAGGTATGTCCCTGGGGAAAAAGAAAACATGCAGCTGAGAGTTGCTAACCAACGTCCTTCGGTTAGAAATAATGATTCATTTTTTACCCCTGGTTGGAATAGTCTCTAAAAGGCTCTGGTGACTAAATGAGCATAATTCCTCATGCTGTTTTCTTTCAAAAGGTATCAAAACTGAAAGCTTCTCTAAAGGGGAAGATCTTTAAACTCAATTCATAAGAAAAGATGAATAAGGGTAGTGGTGATGTTTAACAATAATCTTTAGATGTTGTGAGATTTTTTCTGCCAGCAAAAGCCACATTCAAATTGTAGTTAGCGAAAGGTTTTTTCAGTATTATTTAGAAGAGGCCATCTTGAATCTGTATAATACCGTTTACATATCAGTTTCAGTGTATGCTCAATTCTTATTTTGAGCTTAAAATAGAGTCCTCTGAAAGGGCAGTAATGATTCTGGTGGCAAAATCAAAACTTTAACTTGTAAAATCATAATATGGAATTTACCTGTTTTGTCAATTGGGGATTTGCATTGATTCTTCTACTTGAGGAACATAAATTGCTATTACACAGAGACCTTTAAGTTCCCATCTACTTTAAGATTGTTCTCTTGGCAACTAAGGGATTTGGGGGGGGGCGGGGAAATGCTATGTATTGCTAGTACACAATTATAGAATATGGTTTCTAAAGGTTGGATTTTGAGGGACCCTCCCTAAAGAATGAGTTATTTATCTCCTCAAGGAAATCATGGAAAATTCTGTTTATTCTTCAGTGAGTCCTTTTGAATTAATGTTCTTACATTTTTTTCTAAGTCTATGTAAGTGCTTATGTATAAGTATATAATTGTATAAATATTTATAAATATATTTATATAATTACAGTTTCATTTATACCTTGAGTCAAAGTTCTCTCTTTAGATTGGTGACTGAGTACCACTTTGGTGTCTTTTCATAGGCTCTGGAGGCTTAACTAGCAGTTTCAATTTATTGAGGAAATATGGTTTTCATGTGAATTCCTCAGTTGTATCTCTGAAGTTGGATAACATACTTGCTGTTTGAGGAATAGAGCTGTATTGTATCAAAAGTGCACTGGAAGGTAAAAAATTTGTTGGTAGTAGACAGGTCAGAAATCTAAAAATTAAGGGAGGCACAGGGTAAGAAGTAAGGGTATGCTCATCTTTGTGCTCTGATGGCATCCGTCTCCATTCCAAGCAAAGTCACAGCTAAAGCCCAATTGATAAAAAAAAAAATGTGAAGTCAAGAATTTTTCCTGTAGGTCTCTATTTCATTCTCTTGCCTACTAGCTTCTCTTGATGAAACATATCCAGAGAACAGGAGACATGTTCGTTAATGAGAGAATGTAGTTCTTCTCGATTCCCTGAGCACTTGCATATTCATTTATGAGAAACCAATGTGACTTTTTTGACTTGCGTTACTGTGAGATTAAATATATATATATGATTAAATATATATAAAGTGATTTAAGTAAGAGACAACATGATACATTCATCCAACTTAGATACAACTGGGATGTTTAGAGTACGAGAGGTAGAGGATTCCATTTCATTTTGAGTCAGGAGTATAATTATCTTGGGTTTGATACAGAGGCCCATGGGGAGAACTTACGGATTATATGTGGGAGGAGTAAATGAGTATTGCCTTGCTCAAGAACTTAACCCACTTATGGAGTATACTTCTTCCAGTTTGCCTTATTTCTTCTGCAAATTCCTTTGCTCTTTGAGGAGAGGTTTTATTGAATAGATTAAATGAGATCAATAATGTTAGTTAAAAATCATTCCTTATTAGGTGTTGGAAACAGCTTGGAAGAGAGTTTAAAAGATAGGAAAAGAACAAGATAGTGACGAGAACAATACAGGAAGATAGAATGAAAACTAGGAAGAAAGTGAGAGGCATAGTGTTTTTGAATTTGATTTAGAAAGGAAGAAGGGAAGAGAAAGAACAGTGCCAAATGAGGGAAGAACAGGGAACTACTTTTAAGTAACTGGCATGTGCTATGTACTTTATGTGCATTTTCTCCTTTAATCTTTCTAAAAACCCTACAAGTGTATATTTTCCCCATTTGATAGATAAGGAAAAAAACAAGTGTGGAGAACTTGTTCAGGATGTTGCAGTAAGTGGAAAATCAGAATTGGAACCCAGAACAGAGTTCATGCTATTTTAACTTTCATACTATATTCTTCTACAGCAGTGGAATCAATTCACGAAAACGATTATCTTCTCATTCATTGTTTTGCTGTGTAAATTATCATTTAGTTTTGTTTCCTTAAATCTAAGGGGAGTAGTTGAGATAAACCTTGTGGGATTTGCACTATGCCTATAAATTCTTATTTATGCTATTATTTTAAAAGGCTGATTACTAATTGCTTTTAAAAATGATGCACTGATGAAAATGTGACAGGAAAATAACTGTGTGGCATTATTTGCCAAGAATAAATGGAAAGGATAAAAAAGAATTTTATCTTCAACCATTTTTTCAGAAAAGATACAATTGTCTTTTCTGTGTCCATCCATACCAAATTGTTGAACCCTGTATGTGTATGTTTTAAAATCTTTTATAAAATTCTTCCTCAACTTTGTATATCAACAATTATTTATTGAGTCCTTATTCAAAGTTAAAAATATTTTGAAATCTAAGACCTGATTCCTGCCTATTTTATTCAGTTAGGGAGACACTACAGATGAGATAATTGGGGAACATGTAAATGTTTACCTTTCTGAGGTTGAACTATAATTACATTAGAAGTTTAGAAAAAGGAAAGAATGGTGTAGGTTTTAGTTAGGAAAGACTTCACAAAGATGTAAGTCTGAAAGGTGGCAAACACAGTAGCTCAAATTTTCTTTTGACTCACCTATATTGTTTAGCCCCACCTTTTGTAACTATTAGCTTTAAGGCATGAAGTTTTTCAATAAGGCATAACCAGTGTCAAGGTAGGAAAGGATTATTGATCCCCAGGACTAAAGATTCTTAGCAGAGATCTCACTTGTACACTTAGGAAAAATACCAGAGGGAGCCACTAGCAACTGAAAAATTAGATTAGATTTAATTTCTCTGCCCAGGTACAAATTAAATGTATAGTACATTATATATGAGATTCAGAATGGGCACTATATGAGAGTATTAGTGCACTTGGGTAACAGCTCTGCTGATTAACTGTTACCTTGTTGGTTCTATTTCTTCCTCTGAGTTTCTGGGGTCTTCATCTGAAAAATGAGAGAATTGGACTAAAGTTTTAAGTCTTTTCAAATAAAAGAACTTGTAATTTTAAAACTTGGCATGGGTAGGGAATTGTGGGGCTATTTATATAATTAATTCCATAGATATAGAAAATGGAAATGTATACATGGAAAATTACCCCTTGCAGGGGTCTGTAGGAACCCACAGATTGTAGACCACTGAATTAGATTATCTGTGAAGTCTCTTTCCACTCCAAAATTTTATGTTTCTACTCTTTTACCTTTATTTTATATTATCCCTAGGCTAATTAAAAGTGTATCTATTAATAAGATTCTTTGCTTTTTTTTTTTTTTTTCCTACATCCAGGTATAATTTGGCCAGTCACTTGATCTAACCTCACTGTGATGGTTGAAATCTCCAAAAAGGAGAGTATAATAGTTATAGATCTAGTAATGATCTTTTAAACAATTCAGTAATTTTCAAACTTAATGCTGTGTGCCTAACCATTGTTGAATAAGACTAAAATGTAAATGAGAACCAAATATGTCACTGAAACTGGAGTTAAATTTTATTTTACCCATGTGCTTAAAGTACACTGGCTGAGCTCACTGGCTGAGCTATTGTTGGGAAATTGATTTGTGTAAGTTGTAGGATTCACACTTGGTTTTGGCAGGAACAACTTTTTCAAGATCTGATTAGGCTGACTTTTAAATTTTTTATTTTATTTTATTTTTATTTTTATTTTTTTTTTTGAGACAGAGTCTCGCTTTGTTGCCCAGGCTAGAGTGAGTGCCGTGGCATCAGCCTAGCTCACAGCAACCTCAAACTCCTGGGCTCGAGCGATCCTTCTGCCTCAGCCTCCCGGGTAGCTGGGACTACAGGCATGCGCCACCATGCCCGGCTAATTTTTTTTTTATATATATATCAGTTGGCCGATTAATTTCTTTCTATTTTATAGTAGAGACGGGGTCTCGCTCTTGCTCAGGCTGGTTTTGAACTCCTGACCTTGAGCAATCCGCCCGCCTTGGCCTCCCAAGAGCTAGGATTACAGGCGAGAGCCACAGCGCCCGGCCTATTTTATTTTTTATATTTTAGAGATGGGAGTCTCACTGTGTTTTCCAGGCTGGTCTCAAACTCCTGGCCTCAAGTGGTCCTCCCACCTCCACCTCCCACCATACCCACCTCAAGGCTGACTTTTAAAAATATTTCTTATCCCTTAGAGTATCTTCATTGTGTCATTGTTCACTGCCACGTTACCCCCACCATACTTTTTCTGATCATCACTTAACTACTCAGTAGTAAATCATGGGGTGCAGATTGATGAATAAATTATGTCTTATGTAAAACTAAAACTTGAAAGTAATGAGGGTAGGAAAAACTCAACCCATGGCAATCTTCACATAATACAAGCCTTGATGAATAGGCTACAATAAAGACAGCTGTGTATGATGAATATTCAGCTTCATTGGTTTGCCTTGCTTATCATTTCAGTTATTGTCTTGCCATGAAGCTTAGTGTTGCACAGTACACGTGCAAATAACCAACAGAATACCATACCAACATATTGATTTCTCCTATTATATAGAGGTTTGGTATTTCAATGAGGGTTATTTTGGTTTTTGACTCACCAATATGTCAGTCCTACTAGAGAGACAATTAAGAATCAAGAGTATTTTTTTTAAATAGAGATTATGATGGCCTTGGTAGTTTTCTCATGAAGTGAACTTAAGTGGTTGGATTATTAGATGTGATAATAAGACCTTTATTAGAAAATCTTTTAATCCTAACTTCTACTTCTCCATTTTCTATTCTTTATTTTTTAAAATTCATTCTCTGAAAATAGTCATGATTTTTAATGTAATTGGTTATGTTTAAGAAATTCCATTTATGTCTTAGTATGTAATATTTTTCATTTTTTATAGATCAATAAGGGAAAAATATGAGGCAAACATCGTTTCAATTTATTAAGCTCATTTTCTGTCTAGTTAAGGAGAATTCTCTTATTCCAAATAGAGAATGGCTAGATCTGTGATACTTCTCCCCCTTTTTTTGGCGTACTGATTGCTGTTGTATTGCTTAGATTCTCAGCCATTCTCATAAACATGAGTTTTGGTAATAGGCCTCGTCTTTGCCATATGATCTCAAAGTAAAGTTGGATAATCCAATATAAATTATTAAACATAATTTAGCATTTCTGTAATGAGGTATTTTCAAGAGATAATCAGATTTACTTGCAAGATTAGAGATGAAAATACCAATGATAGTATTTTGCCCAAGAAAATTACATATTAATCTATAAATATAAGACGTTACCTTGTTGTACTTAATTCCGTGGCAACAAACAGTAAGTTTTTGTTGTCTATTCAATGGTATTCCTTATTATATAAAGATCAAAATGCCCTAAGATTTTATATCCCTCATAGTCACTTGGGTTTTCAAATGGAAAGAATAGCCAAGCTAAGTAGTATTTTATCTCCATCAAAAGGTATTAATCTAACTGAGCTACCATGAGTCATTGATATATTAGACCTGGTAAGTAAAATGGATAACATTTCAAATCATTCTGACCTGGAATTCAATTCTCCCTTCATTGAATCTTTTTTATTTACTTTTTTATAAATTCACTATGGGAATCTTAACTAATAAGGGAGAGATTCTTGATCTGGAACCATTCCCTGCCATTCTGCCTTTTCTACCAAGGTAGCTGGCTTTATAGGGCATGTCACCAGGATCCATTTCAAGTTGATGCCATTAGACTGTTGATACTCAATTGGATACTGTTTTCAACAAAATGATTTTATAGTATGCTTTTCTCAAAGCTTCTGTGTTCTTAATAATGGAAAATATCAATAGAATAAATGGTATGATTCTAAATATAAATAGGTTTCTGACACTAATCATTTGCTTTTAACAACTTTTTGATAACTTACTGCCCTGTAAGTTAAGCCTCACATGGAGTGACCATTGCCACCAGAAAATTCTCTTCTACCTGCTGATTAGAGCAAAAATAGTATATGACCTCCACTTTTCAGTTAATGAGTAGCAAGCTTGTAGTAGTGGCTATTCATCTTACACATTTTGGGGACTTGGGCCTTGTTACTTTCCTAGGTTTATCCCTTCAGTTTGGAAAGACTGTTTAAAACACTTGGGTGGGAAACAGATGGTAAAGCTGTGAGGTAATGTTCTAAGTAAATAGATAAAGAGTAATGAGTACCAGTTGAAGCTAACATAGACTTTGAGGGGCTTCCATCCAAGCTTTGGCATGAAACTGTTAAACACAATTTTCTTCACTCTAAGAATCTTTTTTGCCAGAATGGTTTTCCTTTTGTTAACAAATTCTAAGCATCTCATGTCTTTTTCTTTTTTCTTTTTTTTTAAACACTTGCCTTTTTCAAATAGGTATTGATTGTTCCATGAAAACTCTCAAGAGTGTTTGTAAGCTCTGAGCATGCTTTGTATGAGTTCAGTTTGAACAATGCATTTTGAATCATCTGGGATGTCCGATTCTGGCATGTCTTCATTAATTGTGTTTTTAAACATTTTTCATGTCATTTTCCAAACCTCACTTCCATCTTATTCAGAGAGGTTAATTAAGGAATGAAATTTGTTTGGGGATGGGGATGAGGGTGGGTTGGGGCTTGAGTGAAGTCAACTTGGGATATTTGCTTTAAAGTGTTTTCTCAAGCAGTTCCTAACAGTGTTTAGAGATTCCCTGGGATGTTTGTGTACTCAGCTTATTCTGGACAAAGTGGGGGGTGGGTCTCACTGAGATATGCATTCTTAATGCAGGACAGGCTCTAAATTTAATCTATAATGTATCTTTGTTACTGTATCCAAGAAGATAATGGACAGAGATAGTGCTCCTATTTTAGTGTTTCTGGCAAGTGCTCCCTAAAATGCATATAGAGTTCTCAGTTTTCTGGGCCTTTAATCCCACGGTGCTAGGAGATATTTGTTTCTGCAGCTCTTCCCCAAAGTGGGAAGATGTCTTTGAGACCAGTGAGCAAGGGGCAACTGGACCATCCACTAAAATTTTTTTGTTCAAGACATTAGAGACCCTCCTGTATTTTTAGTAAGTGATAATAAAGGTGCTAGGGAAATCCTTAAATTTGAAGACACATGGAGGTGGTTGAAAATTTAAATTTGTAGGAGGAGAACAACCATGCCATTAGGTAAAACAGAGCTGTAACTGCTGGCTAAGACTCAGTGGAACTTCCACTTGCTGTAAAACCAGGGAAAGCTTAGATAATTGGGTGTGATATATCTATAGATACATATAGTCTATAGGTAAATACTTCCTAAAACGAGGATCTTTCAGTTGGTGATCCTCTGATTTTGGCTGTACCAAATTGTGAATATTTTTGCTGTGTTGTACCCAGTTGCTTTATATTAATACTGCAACTTGAATTGGGGGGGGAGGGGACAGTTGGGGGGGAGGGAGGGGAGTGGGGCGATAAGTCTTTCGAAGACATCAGCTCACTGTGCTGAGAGAGGGACCAAACTCAAGGAAACCTCTGATCTATAAATTCAACTGCTGCATTTTTTTATAAATACATGTAAATGTCCTGTTGTAATATTTGATCTTGAAATAAAAACAAAACTTTTCAGTATTAGTTTTTTGTGTCATTGTTTTTGTAAGATAAGACTGGATATTACTTTCATTAATGTAATTCAGAATCTAAAAGGTTGCTCTCAGCCGGGCGCGGTGGCTCACGCCTGTAATCCTAGCACTCTGGGAGGCGAGGTGGGAGGATCGCTCAAGGTCAGGAGTTCGAAACCAGCCTGAGCAAGAGCGAGACCCTCGTCTCTACTATAAATAAAAAGAAATTAATTGGCCAACTAAAAATATATAGAAAAAATTAGCCAGGCATGGTGGTGCATGCTTGTAGTCCCAGCTACTCAGGAGGCTGAGGCAGGAGGATCGCTTGAGCCCAGGAGTTTGAGGTTGCTGTGAGCTAGGCTGATGCCACGGCACTCTGGCCAGGGCAACAGAATGAGGCTCTGTCTCAAAATGAATAAATAAATAAAAGGTTGCCCTCATGTTTAGGACATTTAGTATTTTTTGGCAAAGGTTAGTTTGTTGTCCCATTGTCACTATAATGTTTGGTAGCAATTTCTCTGCTCCTAGCAATATGTTGAACATTTATGGTAAGCACTTAGTAAATGTTGGAATTGTTATGAAAACATAGGGTTAGCTAGCCTTGTTAGGAAAGTATGATTCTGTGTTGGATATATTTAGGCAATTCAAGTGTCTAATCTTTCAGACCAGCAATAATTACTAATAGCGATTTAAGTACTCAGTTTAAATAAGCGAAGAAAAAATAATTAGTAAACTAATGGGAATAAAGCCAGGAGATAGGAATTTATTGTGCAAAAGACAGAAATTGGTATCACTGCTTAGTTCACAGTTCCTCAGTGATCAGTTTGTGCTCCTCTTGTGGAACTGTTCCTTGTCCCCATGTTCCACCCTCACTATGTACCAAGTAATAAGGATATGATGGTGAGCAAAACAGACACAGCCACTGCCCTCAAGGAACTTTCTAGGTAGAATTTAGACAATATATTAATAAATAAATGAAAAAAAAACACATTTAATTCACATAGCATGAAAAAAAGGTAGAAAAGGAGCAAAGGGGATTCTGCTTTAAATAGGATGTTGGGGAGTTAACTTTTAGTCTGAGACCTGAATGATGA